ACGATTGGCGGATCGCTTTTCCGTGGGTAATAATCCATTCAAAATAAAATAATAATTTGATCCCTCAATCCACGACTGCTTTTGGGACGTCACTGTGCGCAATTGGCTGCTCACACAATACAGTCACTACACTTTACAGTATATTTTGCGAAGAGTTTTGAGATGTCTCAAAAATATGATAACGTGCAGTAACAAATGCAAGGATTATTATCATACAATTAGGCAAGTTTCCTTAATAATAACCATTTGATGTAGCACCTTATCACATCGTCGGGACATCTCAAAGCACTTTACGGGACACATTACAATTCTGTGTAAATATATTTTGTGGGCAAGACATGGTTGTCGTCACTGAAGATAAGGGAGTTTCTCTCTCTCTCCCACAGTGTCCTCGCAGACGGATACAACCTTTGCAGTAAATGTTGAGGGTGTGTCTGACTGAGCCAGACTGAAGCACAATTAACCAGAATCGGGAGACTGCTCAGTGTACACATCTGTCCGGATTTAATACTAACCACAACAGTCAAAGACTTACATTTACGCATCAGCTTTCACCCCCCAGAGAGACGTCCCACAACACTTTACCGCTTATATTTACACACCGCCTATCACTCCCCAGAGAGACGTCTCATAACGCTTCACCGCTTACATTTACACAGTGACTTTCGCCCTGACAAGAGCACGTTTAGCTCGTAAATCAACCCATTTCTCTCCGCTCCAGAGCCCAGGTCATTCCTTGTTTAATATGCCTTTCTCGCAGTCTACCAGACAACACCGAGGCCTTTTTCTCAGCCCAAAAATACTTTAAACCCCATTTTAAGCCTATTGCTTTGATTCTGATAAAAAATTGTTTATTTACCCTCCTGGGTAAGGAGGGATTGCAGATTCTACTCACATGAAAGACACTCGAGGTAAATACCAAACAGGAAAAATTACAAGTTAATGCCTTCAGCAAGGTTTAAAAAAACGGTTCATTACAAACTGGGCAACAACAACAACAAATTACATTTGTAGAGCTCCTTTCACTTCAGGCGGATGTCCCAAGTCCTCCGAGGCCTTGGATTGGGCTTACAACTCCGACCCTATCTCCTCACCCTCGCCCGGCTTCACTGGCTCCCTATCCTCCAGAGGATTGAGTTCAAATCTTTATTCTCACCTTCAAAACCTTCCACAGGCTTGCTCTTCCCTACCTTTGTGATCTGCTAATTCGCCCTGTCCGCTCCCTCGACTCAGCGAACTCCAGGCTGCTCCACGTCACCCACCTTGCCAGCCGCACCATTAGCGGTCAGACCTGCCCAACCCTCTGGAACTTCATCCTGCATCCTTGCCCCCTTCCTTGCCTCCTTCATGGGCCCGTCTCAAGAACCTCCTCTTCGATCATCACCCTCGTATGCCCACCCTGCCTGCCCTCGCCCACTCCTGATCCCAACCCAGCTTGGGTCTAAATCCCTGACTGTCCAGCACCTTGGGTCATCTTAAAGGCTCTGTGTAAATGTCATCTCCCAGTCTCTCTGGCTCCCAGTTTCTCGCTGTCGCTCAGTCTGTCTCTCTTAAATCCCCACTGCTCAGCATCTTGGGACATCTTTCCAACATGAAATGTATTGTGTAAATGTCATTTGCTGCTGTTGTTACAACAACGGCCAACAATAAGACACGGAAAAAAGCCTGAGAAGGACAGACGTACTAGTCGGTCTCTCTCCAGTTGCCCCATCGGTATACTAAAGAACATTCTAGAATCTTCCAACTCACCATCTCCTTGTGATTGGGATAAAAGACTTGGTCAATGAGAGGAAAGTCATCAGATCCTAGTTGACGGTGGAGGCGGGCCAGCTGAGCAAACTGTAGAGAGATTGAGAGAGTGTGAGAGAAATAGTGTGTGAGAGAGTGTAGTTGTGTAAGGGGGGGGGAAAGAGACAGAGAGTGTGTGTGAGAGACAGAATAACCACTGCACGACAGGACTCCAAAGGAGTAGTCAAAGAGTTAAGTGTTGACATGGTCTTGAGTGAAGCGGAGAGGGGAGTCGGAATGACTCCGGCAATGGAGCTCCAGAGAGAAGGGGCAAAATGGCGATGGTGGGGCAAATAATAACAGGTGAAGCGAACCGGTGTTTGCCGGGAAAAGGGAGGGGGGGAGGTGGCAGAGGGAGGGGGGAGGTGGCAGAGGGAGGGGGCGGTGGCAGAGGGAGGGGGAGGTGGCAGAGGGAGGGGGGGGTGGCAGAGGGAGGGGGGGCGGTGGCAGAGGGAGGGGGGCGGTGGCAGAGGGAGGGGGGGCGGTGGCAGAGGGAGGGGGGGTGGCAGAGGGAGGGGGGGGGTGGCAGAGGGAGGGGGCGGTGGCAGAGGGAGGGGGGGGTGGCAGAGGGAGGGGGCGGTGGCAGAGGGAGGGGGCGGTGGCAGAGGGAGGGGGGGCGGTGGCAGAGGGAGGGGGGGTGGCAGAGGGAGGGGGGCGGTGGCAGAGGGAGGGGGGGGTGGCAGAGGGAGGGGGGCGGTGGCAGAGGGAGGGGGGGAGGTGGCAGAGGGAGGGGGAGGTGGCAGAGGGAGGGGGGAGGTGGCAGAGGGAGGGGGGGGTGGCAGAGGGAGGGGGGGGTGGCAGAGGGAGGGGGGGCGGTGGCAGAGGGAGGGGGGCGGTGGCAGAGGGAGGGGTGGCAGAGGGAGGGGGGGGGTGGCAGAGGGAGGGGGGGGGTGGCAGAGGGCGGTGGCAGAGGGAGGGGGGGCGGTGGCAGAGGGAGGGGGGCGGTGGCAGAGGGAGGGGGGGCGGTGGCAGAGGGAGGGGGGGCGTGGCAGAGGGAGGGGAGGTGGCAGAGGGGAGGGGGGAGGTGGCCTCACACTCTCACACTGACTCACTGTCACAATCTGGTAGGGATATACTATTTTATAGTATATTTAGGGACGTCCTCCTGACGTGAAAGGCGCTTTATAAATGTAATCTTCTTGTTGTTGTTGTTGTACTATAGACCACCAAATAGTGGGAAGGAAATAGATGAGCAGATCTGCAAACAGATCTCAGACAGATGCCAGTCGCGATAATGGGGGACTTTAATCATCCCAACACGGAATGGCAAAACAACAGCTCGAAGGCCAAGGAGGGAGAAAGATTCCTAAAATGCATACAGGACAACTTTTTTGATCAGTACGTTTCCAACCCAACGAGGAAGGAAGCAGTGCTGGATCTAGTTCTGGGGAATGAAGTAGGAGCAAGTGGAGCAGGTTTCAGTGGGAGAGCGTCTCGGGCAACAGTGATCACAACATCATTAGATTCAGAGGGAATATGGAAAGAGACGAGGAACCGTCTAAGCTGAAGGTACTCAACTGGAAGAGGGCAAATTTCAGTGAGTTAAAAAGGGACCGAGCCAGGAAAGATTGGCAGGTAAAACAACTAAAGAGCAGTGGGAAGTCTTCAAGGATGAGAGAGCTCGGGGACAGAACAAATACATTCCCACAAAAGGGAAAAGTAGGGCTTCCAAACCCTCCCGGGATGACGAAGGTAATTGTATTGAGAATGAAGCAGAAAAAGGAGAAGTGTGACAACTGTCAAACCGGAGATACGGAAGACAACCAAATCGAATATAGGAAGTACAGAAGAGAACTGATGAAGGAAGTAAGAGGGGCAAAAAGGTTATACGAAGAAAGGTTAGCGGGTAACACTAAAGGGAATTCTAAAATATTTCACAAACATATCAAGAAAGAAAGGATAGTCAAAGGTAGAAGGCGGAAATCTTATTGTGGAGGCAATGGCTGATGTGCTGAATGAGTACTTTGTATCTGTCTTCACAAAAGAAGTGGATGCACTAAATGCCGCAGTGTCGGAGGAGAGGGCAGAGGAAATGGATAGGATGAGTATAAACAGAGAGGAAGTACTGAAAAGGTTGACTGGGCTGAAGGTGATAAGTCGCCCGGTCCGGAGGGGATGCAGCCGAGGTTACTATGGGAGGGACGGGTACAAACAGCGGAGGCTTTGGCTACAATTTTTCAATCTTCGTCGGACACCGGAGTGGTGCCCGAGGACTGGAGAGCGGCCAATGTACAAAAGGGAGAAGACGTGAAAAGCGCTATATCAATTGCAAGGAGTATTATTATTATTGATGACGAGGAAAGGCGGGAGAGGCCGGGATTATTCTCATTGGAGCAGAAAAGGTTACGCGGACCTAATAGAGGTCTTCAAAATCATGAGGGGATTTGATGGGTTAGAAAGGGAAAGACTGTTTGCACCGGTGGGAGTGTCGGTGACTCGAGATCACAGATTCAAAATAGTCTCTAAAGGAAGTCGAGGGAAGATGAGAGGAATTGTTTTCGCGCAGTTGTTCGAATTGTCTGAAAGGGCGGTCGAGGACGATTTGACAACTATTTAAAGCGCAGTGGACAGGTATTTGAGGAGGACGGGTTTAATCATTTGCAGGTTATGGGGAAAGGGCCGGGGAGTGGGATCGACATTACATTGCTCCATTCAAAGAGCCGGCACAGACTCGATGGGCCGAATGGCCTCTTTTTGTGCTGTACGATTCTATGATCTCACACTCACACACTGTCTCACTCTCAGACACACACAATAACAATAATAATATAATAATAGTCCTCGCATTTGATATAGCGCTTTTCAAGTCTTCTCGACGTCTCAAAGCGCTTCACAGGACAGACTGTAAAGCGAATTGACCGTATATTTGTGGACAATCACACTCTCAAACACACACACACTCACACATCACTCTCTTCCCCCACACGCACTCTCTCTCTTACACTGTCTCACATTCTCTCACACTCTCTCACACTCACACACTCACACACATTCTCACACTCACTGTCACAATCTCTCATACTCACACACTGACTCACGCATTCACAAACACACACACACTCAGACTCTCACGTACACTCTCACAGACACTCTCTCACACACTTTCACAGACACACTCTATCACATTCTCTCTCACTCTCTCCCTCACTCTGTCTCACACACACTCTCACACAATCACTCTCTCTTACACATTCTTTCTCTCTCTTTCACAGGTCAAAGTAAACACTCAGTATGATTTCCAGGACATAGCAAGTGTTGTTGCCCTCACTAAGACCTACGCCACTACCGAGTCTTTCATTGATGCCAAATATGATGTCCGTATCCAGAAAATCGGCAGCAACTACAAGGCTTACATGTGAGTCACCACCTCCCTGAGCTCTCCCACTCCAATAATAATAATAATAATCATTTCGTTTAATACAGCACCATATCGCGTCATCAAGGCGTCTCGCAGTGCTTCACAGGATACACTGTAAAGTGTAGTGACTATGCTCACACACGACGCACATAGACACAGGCGCACTCAGGCCCACACGGACACAGATACGCACGCACAAATACACAGATACGCACACATACGCGTGCGCGCGCGCACACACAAACACGTGGACGGAATTAGAAATGAGTAACTATATATCTTGAGGGTTTGTTGGCCAGGACGCTGGGAGAAACGCCGTTCTTTTTTTCACCCATACCCATGGGAGCTTTTACATCCACCCGAACAGGCAGACAGGACCTCTTGTTATTATCCATAATAATAATAAAAATCCTTGCATTTGATACAGCACCTTGTCACGTCATCGAGACATGGCAAAGTGCTTCACAGGATGTACTGTAAAGTGTAGTGACTGTGTATTTTGTGGGCGAAACGCCGCAGCCAATTGCGCACAGCAGCGTCCCTTAAAGAGTAGTGGATTGAATGACCAAATGACTATTATGCTTTTAAAAATGTTTATTAAAAAGGTTTCTCTCTCGCCGTCAGTCCCCCAAATAAAGCCACTCACTCATCCAGGGCTATTTGTGGGGACATCACCGTCCTAATCAGCTGCCAACAAAACACATCCTGCGATGGACGAGATAAGACTGGGTCCAATGCAAGGATTATTATTATAATTATTGTCAGTATCCCTGACAGATGTTTTCTGTGCGTTGCTATATTGCTTCACCCTGTCATCACTAGTGGTCAGATTAAACCCATCACGATGACAGTGGGACACAAAACTAAGACATATTTTTGGAACTTGCGGTTGGTTTGCCAGGACTAAGCCAGGCTGACACAAGCCACACACTATTACTTGGAGGTCAGCCGGGTGTCTGACACATCCGGAAACCCATCACCGTTGCTTAAGAGTCTCCAAATCCAACGGAGGATTCCAGGCCTCCCACCTACACATGGGATAGATCGTTGGAATGGAATATGCACTCTCTCTCTCTCTCTCCCTGGAGGGACGCCGCCTGCTTAGTTAATCCCGGAAAGTATTAGGCGCAGACTGGCGAGAGCCCAGGCTTGCGGGGAGCTCAGAGCGTGCGTTGGGGTAACTGCTGGAGTCTAACCAGCTCAACCCACGCGTAGCTTGGCCATCCAGAGCGCCGTCTGGCCAGCTTTTCCCGCTGCTTGTCCAGCGAGGACCACCCTTCCCCGTCAGTTAGGGCTTTGGCTGCAGGAGTTCATGGGGAGGATTCCCTGCATCCAGTGCGGGTCTAGAGACCGTCGCAGAGGGCTCACACTCCCCCACACTCCACGTGCTGTCAAACATGTCACCTCGGGGCCAGTTCAGGCCTCCACGGCCTCTGTGGCCCGTCTGCTCCCTCCGCTCAGCGGGCGCCGGCCTGGTTCGGGTCCCCCTGCCCAGCTCCAGTCCCTCTAACTCGCCTCCTCCCTCGCCTCCGTCAAGACCCGTCTCAAGACCCTCTTCGACCAACCGAACCTTCGGTCACCCTCCTCGACCCTCATCCCCTCTGCCCTCCCCAACCCCCAACCCCCAGTTCGGGTCCAAACCCCTGACTGTCCAGCGCCTTGGGACGTCCTCCCAACCTCGAGGCGCTTTGTCAAGTCATTTTGTTGTTGTTGTTGTTGGAGTCTACAGTCTCTTCCCTACACAAGCCTCAGACTGTCTAGAATTTGGCCGCTCATGTCCTCTCTGTCCCCAGAGGGAGAAAGAGAGAGCGCCACATTGTGAGACGCTGTCCTTTTCGGACAACAACAATAATAGTAATCCTGGATTCGATATAGCGCCGTATCACGTCACCTCAAAGCGCTTCACAGAATATACTGTAAAGTGTAGCGACTGTATATTTTGCGGGCGAAACACGGCAGCCAATTGCGACAAGATGTTAAACCTCACACACTCCCCATCTGTGCCCTGTTCAGCGTCGCCGCTGTCGGGGGTGAGAGGCGAAGGTAGTTTCTCTCTCCCTCGGTGTCCTGGCTGACAGATGAAACCGTTCCCTCCGCAGCTGTTTGCCAGGCGTCGCTCTGCACAAACACCGGCCCCCATGTTTCGCCCGCGCGCTTCACAGTAAAATCCTGTGAAACATTTTAAGACGTCACGACAGGACAATGAGGCACGGATTCAAACAATGGTAATTAACATTATTATTAAAGTGTCTGAGAATTTCCTTTTGACATTCTTTTACGGTCAGCCAAGCGATTGTAACATGGAAATACATCACCGTTGCTTAAGCGTCTCAATATCCCACTGAGAATTCCATGCCTCCCACCTACACATGGAAATTCCCGTGGCTGTAATTGAATATGCACTCTCTCTCCCTGGAGGGGACACACCCTGTTATCTAATTCCAGAGAGTATTAGGCGCAGGTTGGCGAGAGCCAAGCCTCGAGGGGAGCCCAGAGTGTGTGTTCGGTTAAAACTGCTGGCGTCGAAGCAGCTGAAACCACGACGTGGAAGGGCCAGACTCAGATCTACGATTATTATTATTTTTATGTTGAAATAGTGGTTTCCTGGATGACTGTTTCAAAGATTTGTGAGTTTTATCCGAAGGAAACAGGCCTGAACGTTACACAATGACTCCGATATGGTCAACAGCTACACTTACACTTACACGGCACCTCACAGCATCTCTCACCTGTGAAGACATACATTCTGTGAAGAATACTCATTCAGTACCTCAGCCGTGCCCTCTACTTTGCCTTTTGGTTCCTAATGGTCCCCCACCCTTCCTTTGACTATCCTTTTACTCTTTCTATGTTTACAAAAGAACCTTTTCTATTACTCACTAATCTTTCCTCACACACTCTTCTTATTCCCTTTCTCAGTTCTCCTCTGCACTTCTTGTGTCCTACTCGACTCTCGAGTGTGTTATGAACCTGGCATTATAATAATAATAATATTAATAATAATCCTTCCCTTTGATACAGCGCCTTATCGCGTCTTCGAGACGTCTCAAAGCGCTTCCAGAATATACTTGTAAAGAGTGTGTATTTTGTGGGAGGAATGCAGCAGCTAATAGTGTACAGCTGTGGTCCACAAAAGGTCGTGGATTGAGTCACCAAATTATTTTTTTAAGAGATTATTACCTCTGGAAAAGCAATCCGCCAATCGACTAACAACCGGGTTCCCACTTACTGCTCGGAAACGGAGGCGCGCGCGTGTGTGTGTGTGTGTGTGTGTGTGTGTGGAGTAAGGAAACTTGCTTAACGTTTCGCCCTGTCCTGTCCCGCCCGGGAACCGAACACTGGTCCTCTTGCTTGAGAGGCGAGCGCTTTAACCATTGAACCTCCTTTTTCTGTATCATTTTAATCCCAATTTCTTCAGTCATCCAGGCCAGCGAGCATAGGCATTGGATGCTGTGCATTTCCCCCTCCTGGGAATGTGTTCCCAGCGCCTTGGGATGTCCTCCCGACGTGAAAGGCGCTATACAAATGTAATCGTGTTGTTGTGTTTAATACGTACCCCAACTATCTCCTCACTGAAGGCCTCCCATTGCTCACTTACTGTTTGAGTTGCCAATCTTTTATTCCAATCCACATGGACCAGATCCCTTTTTAACTCCGACATTAGCATCTTCCAGTTCCTTGTATTGGTCCTTATCCCTTTCCACAACTACTCTGGAGTCTGGTAATGAAGCGGTGAGTCCCCTCGTGTCGCAAGCGAGAGGTACCGGGTTCGATTCCCGGGTGGGACAGGACAGGGCGAAACCTTAGGCAAGTTTCCTTGCTCCACACACACACAGACACGCGCGCACACCTCTGTTTAGCAGCTGTAAGCAGGAACCTGGTTGTTAGTGGATTGGCAGATTGCTTTCCGTGGATGGTAATCCCTTCAAAAAAATAAATAAGTGAATAAAGAATCATTTGGTCACTCAATCCAAGGCTTTTTGTGGGATACTTCTGTGTGCAATTGGCTGCCGTGTTTTGCCCACAAAATACACAATGAATTCACTTTACGGTATATTCTGTGAAGCACTTTGACACGTCTCAAAGACGTGATAAGGCGCTGTATCAAATACAAGGATTGTTATACTTATATATTATAAGGCGGAAGGTGAACTAGATTGACCTTGGGCTTGTTTTTCCAGCATTTCTTATCTTATTATGTTCTAAGTGTTGTGAGATGTCCTTCTGACGTAAAAAACACAGGGTCTGATGTAAGATTATTTTTAGTTGTTCTGTTGAAATAATGGTTTCACGTCAGGATGACGTCTCACCTCTTACATGTACGCAGTGCGTTTCATGAAAGACATCTCAGAGTGCTTCATAGGATATAATTGTGAAGACCATATATTTTGTGGGTGAAACGCAGCAGCCAATTGCGCACAGTAGGGACTGAATCACTAAATTATTCTTATTTTTTTGAAGGGATTTTTACCCCTGGAAAGTGACCCGGTAATGCACTAACGGGTTCCTACTTACTGCTATAAACAGAGGCGTGTGTGTGGAGTAAGGAAACTTGCTCAACCTTTCGCCCTGTCCTGTCCCCTCCGGGAATCGAACCCGGGTCCTCTCGTTTGCAAAGCGAGTGTTCTAATCACTGAACCTCCTTTTTCTGTTCGATTTTATTATGATTATTTTATTATTATTATTATTATAGCTGGCACCGAATATCTGAAGCCCTCCCTTCTGCATCACTTACCCGGCCACGCATTACGATGCTTCATCTTGTTAATCATGGACATCCTGATGTGAAAGGCACCAGATCCGATGTAGAATTATTTTTGTTATGACAAAATTGCTGTTTCATATCAGGATGACATTTCACAATGCTTCACCACTTACATTTACACAGTCTTTCTGGAGTGAGTGAAAGACGCTGTGGAAATGGAAGTCTCGTGGGACGTCTCTCTCTCTCTCTCTCTCTCTCTCTCTCTCGGGGCCAAAATGTCCACATTAGATGCAACATTATTATTATTTTTATGTTGAAATTGTGATTTCAAGGATGACTTATTTCAAAGATTTGTGAGTTTTATCCAAAATAAACAGGTCTGAACATTACACAATTACTGCGATATCAGTTTACTGGTCAACAGCTACACTTACATAGCACCTTTCACCCCAGAGAGATGTTTCACAACACTTCACCACTTACATTTTATTTGCACATCATCTGCACCACCACATGAGGTTTGAACCAGAGGTGAGAGGGCAAGCGACTGAGCCAGGGGGACACCCAGCGACTGAGCCAGGGGGACACCCAGCGACTGAGCCAGGGGGACACCCAGCGACTGAGCCAGGGGGACACCCAGCGACTGAGCCAGGGGGACACCCAGCGACTGAGCCAGGGGGACACCCAGCGACTGAGCCAGGGGGACACCCAGCGACTGAGCCAGGGGGACACCCAGCGACTGAGCCAGGCTGACACACACCCAGCGACTGAGCCAGGGGGACACCCAGCGACTGAGCCAGGGGGACACCCAGCGACTGAGCCAGGGGGACACCCAGCGACTGAGCCAGGCTGACACACACACACAGCGACTGAGCCGGGCTGACACACACACAGCGACTGAGCCAGGCTGACACACACACAGCGACTGAGCCGGGCTGACACACACACAGCGACTGAGCCGGACTGACACACACACAGCGACTGAGCCAGGCTGACACACACACAGCGACTGAGCCAGACTGACACACACACACAGCGACTGAGCCAGGCTGACACACACACAGCGACTGAGCCAGGCTGACACACACACAGCGACTGAGCCGGGCTGACACACACACAGCGACTGAGCCGGGCTGACACACACACACAGCGACTGAGCCGAGGCTCACACACACACACAGCGACTGAGCCGGGCTGACACACACACACAGCGACTGAGCCGGACTGACACACACAGCGACTGAGCCGGGCTGACACACAGTGACTGAGCCAGACTGACACACACACACACAGCCACTGAGCCAGACTGACACACACACACAGCGACTGAGCCAGACTGACACACACACAGCGACTGAGCCAGACTGACACACACACAGCGACTGAGCCAGACTGACACACACACAGCGACTGAGCCAGACTGACACACACACAGCGACTGAGCCAGACTGACACGCAACAACTGGGCCAGACTGACACATAGCTTGTGATTTCAGGCGAACATCCATTTCAGGAAGCTGGAAGGCTAACACTGGTTCAGCTATGTTGGAACAGATTGCCGTATCTGACAGGTAATCATGATTTTTATCCTGTCAGCCAAGTGTCTAACCCATCACCGTAATTAGCCGATATATGTCTGACACATACCTGTTACCGTGATCAGCCGGGTGTCTGATACACACAAACACGCGTGGAAACCCACCACTTAACAGTCTCCAAACCCAACTGAGAATCCCACGCATCCCAACTACACCTGGAAATTGCTGAGATAGGTTGTTGGAATGGGAGGCACTCTCTCTCTCTCTCTCTCTCCCTGGAGGGACGCTTCCTACTTACCTAATTCCAGAGAGTATTAGGTGCAGATGGCAAGAGCCAAAGCTTGCGGGGAGCCCAGAGTGTGCGTTGGGGTAACTGCTGGATTCTATCCAGGTAAACCCACATAGTTTGCCATTGAGAGCGCTATCTGGCAAGCTTTCCCGCTGCTCTGTCTCTAACCCTGACCTGGGAGTGCGGACGCAGTGTAGAGGAGAGTTACTGTGTCTCTAACCCTGACCTGGGAGTGTGGACGCACAGTGTAGAGGAGCGTTACTGTGTCCTCTAACCCTGACCTGGGAGTGTGGACGCACAGTGTAGAGGAGCGTTACTGTGTCTCTAACCCTGACCTGGGAGTGTGGACGCACAGTGTAGAGGAGCGTTACTGTGTCCTCTAACCCTGACCCGGGAGTGTGGACGCACAGTGTAGAGGAGCGTTACTGTGTCTCTACCCCTGACCTGGGAGTGTGTACACACAGTGTAGAGCTTTACTGTGTCTCTAACCCTGACCTGGGAGTGTGTACACACAGTGTAGAGGGAGCGTTACTGTGTCCTCTAACCCTGACCCGGGAGTGTGGACGGACGCACAGTGTAGAGGAGCGTTACTGTGTCTCTAACCCTGACCTGGGAGTGTGGACACACAGTGTAGAGGGAGCGTTACTGTGTCCTCTAACCCTGACCTGGGAGTGTGTACACACAGTGTAGAGGAGAGTTACTGTGTCCTCTAACCCTGACCTGGGAGTGTGGACACACAGTGTAGAGGAGCGTTACTGTGTCTCTAAACCTGACCTGGGAGTGTGGACGGACGCACAGTGTAGAGGAGCGTTACTGTGTCTCTAACCCTGACCTGGGAGTGTGGACGCACAGTGTAGAGGGAGCGTTACTGTGTCTCTAACCCTGTCCTGGGAGTGCGGACGCACATTAATCCGGTGACTGTTTTGCAGGTACAAGCGATGGGCTGACGAATGCTCGGAGATTTTTGGCGGCATCGATATCTGTGCTGTGGAGGCCATTCGGGGAAAGGACGGACGTGACTACATTATCGAGGTCAGAGTCAGTCTCTGGCCGGGGGTCGTGAAACTGCGCTTTGGGTTAAAGGGTTAAATTACGAGGACAGGTTGCACTTGCCTCCCAAGCGAGAGAAGCTAAGTTTGATTCCCTAACGGAATCGCACCGGGCGAAACCTTGGGCGAGTTTCCTTACTCTGCGCAACGCCTCAGTTTACCAGCAGTAAGTCGTCGATTAACGGGGGGTAAATCCTTGAAAAGATAAAAGAATAATGATGTGGTCACTCCATCCACAACTGTTTGTGAGACACACACACACACACACACACACACACACACACACAGCGACTGTGAGCACAACTGCTGCCGCGTTTGGCCCACAAAAAACACAGTCACCGCACTTTCCTGCGAAGCGCTTTGAGGCGTCTCGAAGACCGGATAGGGCGCTGTGTGACGTTGTAATGAACGTTGCTGTATTCCAGGTGATGGACAGCGCAATGCCTTTGATTGGGGAACACGAGGAAGAGGACAGACATTTGATAGCGGATTTGGTTGTGATGAAAATGAGTCAGATTCTAAGCCGGACGCCCATGCCCTCGCCAGTCAGACCCACCCAGGTGAGTGATACGTGATCAGCCGGGTGGGTGTCTGACACACGCGGTGACCCGTCACCGCTGTGAGTCAGGGCTGAGCTCAGTGACTTGAGTTCCTCACGTTGACCCAATTCTCTCGTGTCTCTCTCTCTCTCCAGCCGGCGGGCACCGATCCCCCCACCCAGGGCCCACCACGACAGAGCCCAGGCCCTCAGCAAAGTCTCGTCCCCCAGCAGCGACCCCCACCTCAAGGTAACAGTGTTATCCCAGCACTCTGCCCCACCCTGATGTTACAGATGTTAATGGTAGTGGACAAGGCCTTGGAGAGGGGGCGGAGGAGATTTGCCAGGGTGGTACCAGGGATGAGGGACTTCAGTGATGGGGAGAGACTCGACTGGAGAGACTGGGACTGTCCTCCTTACAGCAGAAAAGGTTGAGCGGAGATTTAATAGAAGTTCACAATTATGAGGGGTTTTGATAAGGGGAGATAGGGGAGAAACTGTTTCCTCCGGTGGGGGTGGGGGGGTGGGGAGTGGGGGGGGGGGGGGTGGGGGGGGGGTTGGACACAGATTTAAGGTAATTGTCAAAAGAGCCAGAGGAGAGTCCAGACGTGGAGACTTTTTTTTTACGCAGAGAGTTGTTACGGTCTGGAAGGCACTTGGAGTCAGAGTGGGGGAGTGGGGACCAGTTGGGGTAAGAGTGGTGGAGTGGGGACTAGTTGGGGTAAGAGCGGGGGGAGTGGGGACCAGTTGGGGTAAGAGTGGGGGAGTGGGGATGAGTTGGGGTAAGAGTGGGGGAGTGGGGACTAGTTGGGGTAAGAGTGGGGGAGTGGGGACTAGTTGGGGTAAGAGCGGGGGGAGTGGGGACTAGTTGGGGTAAGAGTGGGGGAGTGGGGATGAGTTGGGGTAAGAGTGGGGGAGTGGGGACTAGTTGGGGTAAGAATGGGGGAGTGGGGACTAGTTGGGGTAAGAGTGGGGGAGTGGGGACCAGTTGGGGTGAGAGTGGGGACTAGTTGGGGTAAGAGTGGGGGAGTGGGGACCAGTTGGGGTAAGAGTGGGGGAGTGAGGACCAGTTGGGGTAAGAGTGGGGGAGTGGGGACTAGTTGGGGTAAGAGTGGGGGAGTGGGGACCAGTTGGGGTAAGAGTGGGGGAGTGGGGACCAGTTGGGGTAAGTGTGGGGGAGTGGGGACCAGTTGGGGTAAGAGTGGGGGAGTGGGGACCAGTTGGGGTAAGAGTGGGGGAGTGGGGACTAGTTGGGGCCGAATGGCCTCCTCCTGTCCTGTATATTCTGTGATGTTAGTGATGTGTTTGGAGGCCCTGTAGCGAGGACTCGGGTTCGATTCCCGGGCGGAACCGGACGGCGTAACTTTACTCGAGTTTCCTCACTCCACACACACGCCTCCGGTTACCGGCATTCAGTAGGAACCTGTGAGTAGGATCACCTTCCCACGTAATAGGGTAATAATCCCTTCAAAAATTTATTAAAAAATAATTATTTGATGACTCAATCCATGACTGTTGGTGGGACATTGCTGTGCGCAATTGGCCGCTGACAAACACACGGACAGTAAAGCGCTCTGAACCTCTTTGAGACGTCTCAACGACACGATAAAGCACTATGTCAGTGATCTTTGCTCAGACGTCTCAAAGCGCTTCACAGACTTTACTCTGAAGTGTAGTGACTGTGTACTCTGTGGGCGAAACTGCGACAGCTCAATGTGCACCGCCGGGTCCTCACAAACAGTCGTGGATTGAGTGACCACACTATTAGTATTATTTTTAAGGGATTATTACCCCCGAAAAACGATCTACCAATCGGCAACAGAAGCACACGTGTGTGTGTGTGTGTGTGTGTGTGTCTGTGTGTGTGTCTTTGTGCATCTGTTTTGTGGGTTTGCCTTTTGTCTGTGTGTGTTGTGTGTGTCTGTTCTACCCCTGAGCTACAGGGGGAGTGGGGTGTGAGGGGAGGGGTCTAACCCCTGAGCTACAGGGGGAGTGGGGTGCGAGGGGAGGGGTCTAACCCCTGAGCTACAGGGGCTGTGGGGTGCGAGGGGAGGGGTCTAACCCCTGAGCTACAGGGGCTGTGGGTGCGAGGGGAGGGGTCTAACCCCTGAGCTACAGGGGCTGTGGGGTGCGAGGGGAGGGGTCTAACCCCTGAGCTACAGGGGCTGTGGGGTGCGAGGGGAGGGGTCTAACCCCTGAGCTACAGGGGCTGTGGGGTGCGAGGGGAGGGGTCTAACCCCTGAGCTACAGGGCTGTGGGGTGCGAGGGGAGGGGTCTAACCCCTGAGCTACAGGGGCTGTGGGGTGCGAGGGGAGGGGTCTAACCCCTGAGCTACAGGGGCTGTGGGGTGCGAGGGGAGGGGTCTAACCCCTGAGCTACAGGGGCTGTGGGGTGCGAGGGGAGGGGTCTAACCCCTGAGCTACAGGGGCTGTGGGGTGCGAGGGGAGGGGGTCTAACCCCTGAGCTACAGGGGAGTGGGGTGCGAGGGGGAGGGGTCTAACCCCTGAGCTACAGGGGGAGTGGGGTGCGAGGGGAGGGGTCTAACCCCTGAGCTACAGGGGGAGTGGGGTGCGAGGGGGGAGGGGTCTAACCCCTGAGCTACAGGGGCTGTGGGGTGCGAGGGGGAGGGGTCTAACCCCTGAGCTACAGGGGGAGGTGGGGTGCGAGGGGAGGGGTCTAACCCCTGAGCTACGGGGGGAGTGGGGTGCGAGGGGAGGGGTCTAACCCCTGAGCTACAGGGGGAGTGGGGTGCGAGGGGAGGGGTCTAACCCCTGAGCTACAGGGGGAGTGGGGTGCGAGGGGAGGGGTCTAACCCCTGAGCTACAGGGGGAGTGGGGTGGGGTTATTATTATGATAATAATAATCCTGGCATTGACCCGGCGCCTGATCACGTCAACCGAGACGTCTCAAAGCGCTTCACGGGATACGCTGTAAAGTGTAATGACTGTATTTTTTGGGGGAGCAATGATGTTGATGGTAAAACCTCTCCTTTCTCCCCTCCCCTCAAGGAGGCCCACAGCAACCCCAGAGACAAGCCCCCCCCAGCCACCACCGACCCCCGCCACAAGGCCAACCCGTGCAGGGCTTGGGACCCCAACCTCCTCCTCAGCAACAGCAGCGACTGCCGAGCCCCTCCACCCAACAGCCGCCCGTCCAGCGCCAGATGAGCCCCGTGGGCCAAGGTCAACCTCAGCGCCCGATCAGCCAAGGCCCTCAACAGCCTCGGCCTTCTCCATCCCCGCAGCTGCAGAGGAACCCAGGGAGCGGAGGCCATCAGTCCCCTCAGCGACAGGCCTCCCCTCAACACCAGAGGCCAATGGGGGCAGGAGGGCCCCAGCCCAAGCCCACCCCAACCGGCCAGCCCTCCTCCCACAGGCCGTCCGCAGCCGGGAGCCAACCCCAACCCCAGCACGGCAGGCAGACAGCTCCGGCCGGCCAGCCAGCCCAGCCCAGGCAACCGGGGGGCCAGCCGGGCCCCGGGGGACGTCACTCCGGGTCCCAGAGCCAGCAGAGGGGCCCTCCGCAGCCACACCAGCCCCCACAGCCCTCCCAGCAGGCCAGGCAGGCAGCACCCACCACCCAACAGCCCCGAGGGATGGGGCAAGGCCAACAAGGGCAACCGCTGACCAGGGCACCCGCCCAACAGGCGCCCGCTCAACACAAGCCGTCACAGCAAGATCCCATCGGCCCTCACCCTCAGATGAAGTGAGTTCCTCTCTCTCTCTCTCTCTCTCGCTCTCCTCTCTGTCACTCTCTCTCTCTCTCTCTCTCCGTCGCTGTGTCTTTATCTCTCGCTCTCTCTCTCTCTCTGTCGCTCTCTTTGCTTCTCTATCTCTCCCTCTCCTCTCCTCTCTCACCTTCTGTCTCTGCTTCTCTTCCTCTTTCTCTCTCTCTTTCCCTCTCTGCCTGTCCTTTTATTTTCTCCTTTTCTATCACTCCCTTTCTATCTCTCCCTTTCTCTCCACCTCTCTCTTTTCCTCCCCTTTCTTCTCTCTGTCTCTTATCTCTCCCCCTCTCTCTCTCCCTCTCGTTCCTCTCTCTCTCGCCTCTCTCTTTCTCTGAGAAAGGAGAGAAGAGGGACAGAAAGAGAGAGGAGAGAGAAAGAGGGAGGAGAGAGAGGAAGAGAGGGGAAGAAAGTGATAAAAGAGAGCGATGGACCGGGTCTCTCTTACCTCTTTCTCTTTGTCTCTCCTCTATTTTTCTCTCGCTACCCTCTCTTTCCCTCCTATCTCTTTCTGACCCTCTTATTCTTTTCGTCTCTCCATCACTCTCTCTCATTGTCTTTTTCTCTCCCTCTATCTCTCTTTATCTTCTCTCTCCCTCTCTCTCTCTCTTTCTCTCACTCTCTCTCTCTCTCTCTCTCTGTCTCAGTGTCATTCTATAATATTGTTTGCATTTGCTTCTAACATGAGCTCATTGACCCAACCTCTCTGAGTGATGTACCTCAAAGGGAAGGGACGTGTGTTCGAGCTGCGGACGGGAAGATGGTGACAGTTCTCTCACACATTTCACGCTGAGATGTGGTACCCACCAGGAAGTTCGCAGGAAGTTCCTGGTACCACCTGTCCACGTAGCGAGGGCTCGTGGAGCCCAGTAGCTCAGGGCTTAGAGCCCTCGCCTCGCAAGTGAGAGGACGTGGGTTCAATTCCCGGGCGGTACAGGACAGGGAGAAATCTTAGGCAAGTCTCCTTACTCCCCACACGCACATACACCCACAGACAACACACACACACACACACCCACAGGCACACACACACAGACAGACACACACACACAGACACAGAGACAGACACAGAGACACACACACAGACACACACACACACAGACAGACAGACACAAACACACACACCCACAGGAACACACACACACACACACACAGACAGACACATACGCACAGACACGCGCACACAGACAGACACACACACACACACACCCACAGGCACACACACAGCCACAGGCACACACACACACACAGACAGACACACACACAGACACAGAGACAGACACACACACAGACACACACACACACAGACAGACACACACACACCCACACAGACACACACACACACACAGACACACACACAGACAGACACACACACACACACACACACACACAGACACACACAGACAGACACACAGACAGACACACACATACGCACAGACAGACACACACAGACGCCTGTGTCCCCGGCAGTCAGTGGGAATCGCTTGTCAGTCGATTGGGGGATCACTTTCCGGAGGTAATAATCCCTTCAAAACAACAATAATTCGGTCACTTCAACCCACGACTGTTTGGCGACATGTGGGGTGTGGGGATCGAGCCCTCTCTTTCTGTGATGGTCTCTAGTCCCGGTTCCAGAGACGGGACGAAATTAGGCGCAGGTTGGCGCGAGCCAAGGCCCCACAGGGTGTGGGGGGGGGCACCAGACTGGGCATTGGGGTAACTGGTGGAGTCTAACCATCTAAACCCACATCGCTTGGCCATTGAGAGCTCTATCAGTGAGCTTTCTCACTGCTTGTCCAGCTAGGACCCCCCCCCACAACCGCAGGGACTGAGGTTTCCCCACATAACACACAGTCACTACACTTTACAGTGAATCCATACGAAGCGCTTTGAGACGTCTTTCTGACATGAAAGACTATGCGTCAAACTTGAAGGTTTTAGGATTCAGATTTGTGGAGTCCTGTAGCTCAGGGGTTAGACCCCTCCCCTCACACCCCACAGTCCCTGTAGCTCAGGGGGTTAGACCCCCCCCCTCGCACCCCACTCCCCCTATAGCTCAGGGGTTAGACTCCTCCCCTCGCACCCCACTCCCCCTATAGCTCAGGGGTTAGACTCCTCCCCTCGCACCCCACTCCCCTGTAGCTCAGGGGTTAGACCCCTCCCCTCGCACCCCACTCCCCCTATAGCTCAGGGGTTAGACTCCTCCCCTCGCACCCCACTCCCCCTGTAGCTCAGGGGTTAGACCCCTCCCCTCGCACCCCACTCCCCCTGTAGCTCAGGGGGTTAGACCCCCCCCCTCGCACCCCACTCCCCCTGTAGCTCAGGGGTTAGACTCCTCCCCTCGCACCCCACTCCCCCTATAGCTCAGGGGTTAGACTCCTCCCCTCGCACCCCACTCCCCCTGTAGCTCAGGGGTTAGACCCCTCCCCTCGCACCCCACTCCCCCTGTAGCTCAGGGGTTAGACTCCTCCCCTCGCACCCCACTCCCCCTATAGCTCAGGGGTTAGACTCCTCCCCTCGCACCCCACAGCCCCTGTAGCTCAGGGGTTAGACCCCTCCCCTCGCACCCCACAGCTCCTGTAGCTCAGGGGTTAGACCCCTCCCCTCGCACCCCACAGCTCCTGTAGCTCAGGGGTTAGACCCCTCGCCTCACACCCCACAGTCCCTTTAGCTCAGGGGTTAGACCCCTCCCCTCGCACCCCACAGCCCCTGTAGCTCAGGGGTTAGACCACTCGCCTCACACCCCACAGTCCCTTTAGCTCAGGGGTTAGACCCCTCGCTTCACAAGCCGGAGACCCGGGCTCGATTCCCGGGACAGGACAGGGCGAAACCTTAGGCAAGTTTAGAGATTAGAGGAAAAAGACAAGTGGGAAGTGTAGAGCAGGTACAAGCGGACAATTTCCTCAAATGCATGTACCTAAATGGTCGGAGCATAGGGAATAAGGTTAGTGAACTGCGGGTTCAACTGGCCATAGGGGGTTACGATGTGATGGCAGTAACCGAGACATGGCTCAAGCCAGGACAGGAATGGGAGATAAATATTCCAGGATATAATGTGTTCAGGAAGGATAGAGAAGGAAGAAAAGGAGGAGGGGTGGCAATATTAGTGAAGGATACAATTATAGCTGTAGAAAGGAACGAGGCTCTGGAGGGCCCGACAACATGTGGTTAGAGATAAAAAATAAGAAAGGAGTGGTTACACTGATAGGGGTTTATTATAGACCATAATATTATTAGATTTAGATTCCTCATGAACAGAGACAAAGTACAGTCACGGGTGAAAATGCTTGACTGGAAAAGGGCTAATTTTGATGGGCTAAAAAGGGACCCAGAGTGGGTGGACTGGCAAGTAAGACTGGCAGGTAAACCGACTCATGAGCAGTGGGAGATCTTCAAGGATACGATAGCTCAGGGTCCAAACAGATATATTCCCACAAAAGGGAAATGTGTCACAACCGAGCCGGCCTGGATGGCCAGGGATATTCTGTCTCGGATGAAAAAGACGGCGGCGTACGACAACTGGAAGACGCAAGACACTGGGGATAGCAAAGCGTATTATAGGGAATGCAGGAGTGATCTTAAAAGAGTGATAGAACAGGCTAACAGATCGCGTGAGAAGAGGTTAGCGGGTCACATAAAGGGGAATCCTGAAATATTTGACAAGCACATGAAGGAAAAAAGGTTAGTCAAAGGTAGGGTGGGGTCAATCAAAGACGATGACGGCCATCTTGTTGGGGAAACAGAGGGCACATCGTGGCTGATGCACTGAACGAGTACTTTGCATCTGTCTTCACAACGGAAACGGATGCCCCAAATGCCGTAGTATTGGATGAGAGGGCAGAGGACATAGATCAGATTACTGTAGACAGAGAGCAAGTTCTGAAAAGATTGACAGGGCTCAAAATTATAATAATAATAATAATCCTTGCATTTGATATAGCGCTTTTCATGTCGGGAGGACGTCCCAAAGCGCTTCACAGAATATACTGTAAAGTGAATTGACTGTATATTTGTGGGCGAACGCGGCACCCAATTGCGCACAGCAATGTCCCACAAACAGTCATAGATTGAAGATGACCAATTTATTATTGTTTTTGGTTTTTGGAGGATTATTATTAGGCTCTGTGTGGAGTAAGGAAACTTCGGTAATAGGAAAGCTACTGGAGACCATAATCCGGGACGGAATAAATCTCTACTTAGAGGAACACGAGGTAATTAGAGACAGTCAACATGGATTGTTAAGGGCAAATCTTGCCAACAAATCTAATAGAATTTTTTGAAGAGGTGACTGCGAGGGTTGATGAGGGAAATGCGGTGGACGTTATTTACATGGATTTCAAAAAGGCTTTTGTCACAGTACCGCATAAGAGATTAATACAAAAATTAGAGGCCCACAGTATTAAGGGGACAGTGGCAGTTTGGATTAGGAACTGACTGAGTGACAGAAAGCAGAAGGTGGTGGTCAATGGGTGTTTCTCGCAATGGAAGGAGGTGTGCAGCGGTGTCCCCCAGGGATCGGTATTGGGACCACTGCTCTTTCTAATATATATTAATGATCTGGACTTGGGCACAGGGAGCACTACTCCCAAGTTTGCAGATGATACCAAGTTAGGGCAGTAAACAGTGAGGAGGACTGTAACCAACTGCAGGCAGACATACACCGAATGGTGGAATGGGCTGACATGTGGCAGATGGACTTCAATGTGTGAGGTGATACACTTAGGGTGGAAAAATGATAGGAGGCAATATAGACTTGGGAGCTCGATCTTAAGGGGGTGAACGTACAGAGAGATCTGGGTGTTCAAGTAAGCGAATCATTAAAGGTAGCGGGCAGGTAGATAGGGCAGTAAAAAGGCATTTGGTGTACTGAGCTTTATTAGTAGGGCATAGAGTATAAGAGTAGGGGTTATGGTTAATCTGTACAAAACACTGGTTAGGCCTCAGCTGGAGTACTGCGTCCAGTTCTGGCACCTTACTTCAG